TCTGTCTGTCTGTCTGTCTCTTTTTTAGAGAGCTTATAATGAGACTTGCTGAAGCTTAGTGTATTAAGTATGCCAAAGACTAAAATAACTTATGGCTTGTTTTAATATTAAAATCAGAATAAATAAATAGCTAAAGGAAGGGGAACTGGATATTTCATTGAAGTCAGCAGTAGACATTTTTAGTTGCATCTTGAGTAAGTTCAGCCAAAAGTAATTACACTCCCTGCTATTCCCAGGGGGCTATGGCTTTTTTTTTTAACAAGCTTTGCAGTCCATATAATGTTTTATGTAGTATTATAGTATAGTTTGCGTATTTTTGAGGGAGATAATATTCTGTGCTTCTAGGATTTCAGCAACCTGGTTCTTCTGGCCTTTTTTTTCCTGTGAGGTGGCTTATGCAAGCAGTCTTTGCTTTGTTTCAGTTTCAAAATGTTTCTAAGAGGTTACTTCTTATAAGTTATTTTAATGAAATAAGCCATATAAGATGTGGGGATTCACAGAATCTACATTTCTAACTTAGCGTGTTAAACTGTTACTTGAGGGGAAGGAGCTGAAGATGTGCTAGTGTAGTTTCTCAAATGAAAAAAAGAATTACTGTTTTAGTATTCCTATCAGGATTTCCCGAATGTGTCTTCTGTTGGCCAAAGGAGTGCTGCACTGGGATGATCTGGTAACTGCTGTCGTATGTTTTGATGTGCTGTGTATGTGGGGTCCTCAAGCCTGTAGAGTTTGTCTTTGACAGTTCACCTTAGTGGGGCCAACTTCTGCCTCCTGTGTTGAGGAAAATGCACTTGATCCAAATCAATATAATCAATGAAGAGACAGTAGTGAACTTGAAACCTTGCAGAACACTTTGGGTACTTACAGATGACACTTCAAATTACGTTTTCTGATAACTTTGAGTAGTTGTTTGCTATTTATATTCAGACTTCTTTCCAGCAGTTCTGAGATGTAGTTCTTTGGGCCAAGGTCCCAAACCTCCAGAGCAGGCAGCATCAGCAAAATCAATACAACGGAAAGTAAAACCTTACAGTTTTGCAGTTGTTCTCAGAAAATAGCTGCCTTATAAGACAAACTCTGGGGACAAGTTCTGACAATCAAGGAAAAGATGAAAACTATGGAGTTTGTTGAAGGTTGCTTTTGAGCAAAGGAACTGAAGTGGAAGGGGTGGAGGGTTACATCTGAAACAAAGGAGGCTCTGGTAACTGTAGCATCACTCAAACGGGGAGCTCTCTCTGCTGGGGTAAGCGGGGGAATAAGCTCCCTCTTACATGTCCTGCTAGTGGAACCTTGCTCAGGTACTGAGAGCAAAAGTGTTATGTGATTCTCCTCCTTTCTATGAACACCAGGCTGCAAGTGTAAACAACCACTGCTTTTTGCACAAAGAGTAAACTAGGGTTTTGTACGCCTACGTGAGAAGCTTCTTCTGGGTACTCTGTAAAGTCATGGAAGTTTCTGTGTCAAGGAGTAAACTGCATCGAGCAGATCCCCTTGTAAAACTAATTCTTGTGCTTCCTGCTTTTTTTTATTGTAGCTGCATGGGCTGTCTCTCAGGGCTGCTGTCGTGCTGCCACCTCAGCATGGCCTCATCAGGCTACCTCTCATAATCCTGATGGTATGCAATATCCTGTATACTTTCAATTTTGTATAAAATGTGTATCTTCCCCACAAGCTGAAAAAGTTGATATGGGGCTGTAAGACCTGTAGTAACTTTGGGTGGTTGGTTGTTTCTACTATTACAGTTCCTGGCAGCTGCCTTTGTGAGCTGAGGCTGTGCAGTGTTAGGCACTATACAGCACAAAACAAAAGCAGGGGCCCTGCCCCAGACAGGGCTCAGCTTAGGACAAGAGCCAGAGACCAGTAGGGTATACAAGGAAACAAAATGGTCAGGATGATCGGTGGCGATTTGGTCATACTAACAGCTTAAGCCATTATCAGTATCTTTTCAGAGGCCTTTAGGAAAGGAGATAGGCCAACCTTTCATCTTTGCTTTAGTTTGGGCTTGTTTTGCATAATCTGCATTTACTGTTTGGAGTAGGCTCAGGACTGGAATAACAGGATTATTGCGACAGAATTGAGGTGTACTGATGGAATTATGTGGCTAGTCAGTCTCTGCTTTACCTTGAATGTTCAGTTCTCTTGTGTTCATGACCTTGAACTTGCATTAAATTTTGTTAGTACTTCAATGTCCTTAACGTAATTAAGATCCCTTTCCCCCACCTTTTGTTTTGCACATTTAACTAGCACAGGATAAACTTTTTTTTAAATAGTATTAAGAAAACTGTGAACAACTTTGACGTCTGGGGTCTCTGAATACTGTGAATGTCACAGTGGCTTGCTTCATGGTTATGGGGTGAAAATGCCGACTGGTGATGGGGATGCCCTTATCCTCAAAACTTGAATGTTCTTCTCTCCATGAGCCCCTTTTAGTATCCTAAGGACCTTTCATCTTCCAAAATCAACTCTTAATGTCCCCCTCACCCCGGCTTCATGCTCTGCTTCATGTTCCTGCTCTGACAAAACTATGAATAATGTCTGCTGGGCAGAAAGGAGGAGTAAGCATCTGGAGTAAACAGAACATGGCAACAGCGTGCTCTCCCAGCAGTGACTGCATCTTGTAGCGCTGCTAGCTCAAGTCTGGTTAGTGTTGTGGCCTTGGCAGACCCTAACGTCAGGGTGGAGTAGAGTAAGCAACCTAGAGTGTTATTTGTTCCCATGATCCTGAGCAAAATGAGTGTTCTGGCTTTACTTTTAAATCAAGAACCCAGCAGTGGTCCTCCACGCCGGTGTTTCTGGTCAGTCCTGCAAGCAGTGTGGAGTAGGCCTTGTTCTGGTTGTTCTCCTTGTTGGTCTCTGTTGCAGCTGTGTGGTTTCCTGTATGTGTGACCTAGGTTAGAGGGTTGCATTATCTGTGAGATTTGTTTTGGGGATTGCTGTTTGGGGAGATAATGTTTCGTGTGAGTGTGTCTTGTCCTGTACCTGTTATTTTCTGTGCACTGAAGCCTGTAGAAATCTACAGGTTTTCTGCATTGTTTGAAGTCCCTAAGAATCTTCCCATTTCCAGTTGACCTCTCCTGTGCGTGTGTGTTTTTAATTGTTAAAGGATTGAAGATCTGGGAGTCTGTAATAATACTTTCAGTCTCATGTGAGATAAGCCTGTGCTGATGGTGAATGCTTCTAATTTGCCAACAGGTGGCCTTATGTACGTGTGTTTGCAGTGGGTGGATGTTTATGCTGCAACCCATACTTTTGTGAGGCACCCACAACTGAACAGGCCAATAATCTCATCAACAAGAAGAAACTAACTAGCAGCAATCTGGGCTGGATTTCCCATCTTAATAGTTTCTGGCTTACTGTGCTACTATCTCAGCCCCTCTTACGTGCATTATTATATTTTTACATGCAAATGCATTTGTAATTGGAGATGATTTTCCTAAGCCTACTGTAGACAATTTTAATTGTTCTATAAATCTGACTTAAGTTTTTCCCCTTCCCCCCACCCTCCGTTCCCTGAATAAGAGACAAAAATAACAGTAGCAAATTCCAGTGGTTCAAGGGAACTTGGCCAGGGTCAGCAGGGTGGGCTGAATGAGCTTTGGGATCGTGGACACAGGGCACTGGTCAAGTCTGACTTCTCCCCTGCTTTTTTTTTTTTTTGAATTACAGTAACAGTGTTATCTGGAGTTGTCTCTGCATGCAATTACATGCATCGGTTGAGTTCTTTCTTTCCTTCCCCATAGCATCTTCCAAATTTGTTATGACAACATCTATAATGATGTGGGCCACCACAAATCCGTACATGAGAGAGGGAAGGAGGAACTAGTTATTCTTCCAGTAGCTACTGGTGGCTTTGGTAGTGGTGCAGAGGTTCAAGACCTTGTTGTAGTTTGCCTTAGCTGTGTGCCGTTAGGCAGGAAATAGCTGGCCGCTACCATTGGTGTGGGCTACTTGGCTGCTCTGTACAGAAATATTTCCAAAGAAACTAGTCGAGGACTTTTCAGGCTTTTTACTTTCCCTTATGATGTGCCTCATAAGAAGAAAAAAATCTCTCTGCAGAAATGATTGTAGTGGAAAGGCAGTCCTTGCTTAGCGCTCATATTGTATGATAGCCTGATGCAAGCGTAGTTGGTTTCTTACTGCCACAGGGCTCTGCCACGAAGGTAACCCAAGCATAGGAAGTCATATCTTGCCCTTTTGAGTATGGGGTGTTCTTCATGAGATAATCCCAAAGTATGGGAAAACAGCTGGAGATAGTCTAATGGCTTCTGCCACAGTGTGGTAAAACAGGAACGCTCAAGAATAGGCCAGTTGGTTTGTCCTGCCTGTGTAGCTGAGGTGGGTCATGCAGCAGCACGATGTGCTCAGAGAATGGCTTTAGTGACTAGTGTGTGAGGGATTTCAGAAGGCCTGTGAGCCACATGGTGCAGGCTGAAGGAGCTGGGGAACATAGCAGTGTGCTTTCACCAAATCCCATCCTCAGCATCTCTGTCTTCAAGACATAAAACCGGGCAACCCTGAGCAAAGAGGAGAAGCTCATAATGATGTGTCTGCAGCCTTCCTGTCTTAAATCTCATATGCTATGAGAGCTGCATATGAAAAGCTTCCATCCCCTATCGTTAATTCACTAAATGAGGGTGTCTGGTAGGGATTACTGAGCTTTCAACAAGCAATGCAGGAAGAGGACCTTGGCGAGTAGCCAGTCTTCACTGAAGGAGCTCATTTTCCTACAGCAGAACTTAGTGCAATCACACAAGAGCAAGCCCTTCGGTAAGGACTGGCGACAATCCAAGGTCATCTCTCTGCATTGCATGCAGGAGAGCTCAGCAACCTCTGCCAAACATCATCTGTGAGCAAGCAGGAATTCAATTTTGGGAAACGAGAGGGCAAAGTCTGTATGTTCAGTTATCACATCCTTGTACTTCGCCTCCTCCCCCAACCGTGGTCCAGCTAAGACACAAACTGATGACTTAGTTGGTGTGTTCTGCAGACCCAGCCTCTTAATTGGAATGTCTGGAGGCAGGTAAGGCAAAAGGCTTACTTTTTTTTTTTTCTTCTTTTTGTGTAATAGAAACATATTGTATTAAACCTAGCAAGCTAATAGCTGTGAATATTTTTATAGGGCAAATGCTACTGCTTTTTAGTGGCTTCACTTTAACAATTTGATCAAGAGAGTCAAGTTTTGCACAGAAGTCCCTGTGAAATCTATGGGGTGTATAAATGGACAGTGTAACTGGTGTTAGTGCAGCATAATTCTGCTGTGTTTGTGCTGCCTCTTCTTTCAAAATAATAGATCTGCTGTTAGTCTGAGCAGCAGACTCTTAAGCTTGTGCTTTCAGAATTTCTAGCATCAGTCCATAGGGATGTTTTATCCAAGAACCTTATTACACCTGCAAGGGGATTGTGACTCTGAGCTACCGTATGTATGTGTAAAATATAGCTAGTGGTTTTATCTTCTTTGGCCTTTCACGCCTGTTACTGTAAGGGTGATTTAGGATTGTATTTGTCATATGCTTAGATAGGATCAAAGAATGAAAATAACTGAGTTATTTGTCATCTTTGAGATGTTTTATATTTTTCTTTTGCTTTTTTTTAGGTTTGGAAGGCGTTTTGAATCCCCTCTTTTGTGGCAAAGCATTATCATGATTATTACTATGTTACTGATGCTGAAACTGTGCACTGAAGTACGTGTGTCCAACGAGCTAAACATAAAACGCCGCTCTTTCGCAGGTTAGTGACAGGAGCTAGCTGTTGCAGAATGAATGTTTTTAAAAGCATGTTGCATTATGTTTTGGACTGAAGTTCTATCTGGATTGCAACCCACCCCGCCTCCTTTCTTGATGATCCAGTGTAGTTCTTCCTGAACTTCTTATTTGAAACCACTTTCACCCAGATGAATATTTAAAGCTGTAATTTTATTTTTAATGGGTCTTGGTTCAGTCTGGAAATCAGAGTTCTCCTTAATATTTCACACCATGCTCTAGGATACAGAACTAGCTGTCATGCCATTGTGCTAGCCTGGATTTTTTTAAGATATTGCCTTGAATAAGAAGTCATTTTCTTCAGCTGTACTTACTTTCTACCAAGTTCTTAGGTGGGAGATGAACCCTGAACAGATGCTGTTATCTGTAATCTTATTTTGCAGTGGCCAGCAGTGTATCTTTCATATGCAGAGAATGTATTTCCTATTTGCTAATTATTGGCTGTCCAAACAGGAGGTGCTGTCATACCATAGTTGAAAAGTTGTATCTTTTTGTGTACGGTTTCCTTTTGTGTGTGTGTGTGTGTGTGTGTGTGAGAGGTTTACAGGGATTTTCACATTTTTGTTTGTTTGTTTTTGTTTGTCTCATTTTTAGGCATGGATAATTTCAGTTGGAGCCAGAGTATTCTTTATTTAATAAAATATTCTTGCTTTGGGTAAACTGATTGTTTTTTATTTTTCCCAAAAGGAAATGTGAGAGGGGTAGGTTTTGTGTTTCTGTGTATTGACTTTGACTTACAACACTTTATTTTGCAGCTTATTATGATCAAGAACCAAAGCAATACTATCAGCTTTTTGTCAGTTGTTTGGCCAATATGGATGTCTAACTCATTCTCTCCGTCTGTTCTCTTCCCTCACTCTCTAATAACTGACGGTCTGATCCAGTTCCAGATATCTGCAGCCGTCATTACAGGCAGCCGATACCGTCTTGTGCAGTAGGGTAATTTATTTAACAGCTAAGGAAGCCACTTTGGTCCCTACTCACTGCACAGTGGGTTGCGAAGCTGTTCAAGTAAGTGACTTCATGTGGAAGAAGAGGTGCACTGCAACTGCCAATACTGCACCCAGATAGTTTTCCCCCTCTCTTACTATCACAAGCTGCTTTGTCCACAAGGGTTGTTAGTCTGGGAGGATGACTGACTTAAAAACTCCTTTCAGAGAGATTTTGACAGAGGTTTAAAAACAAGAAGCTTTTAGGAGGGGCCATTGTATACTTTCTGCCTCCTTTGCCCTCCTTGCTGGTGTTCAGTGAAACAGGCAGAAAGGTTTCTCTCTTCGCCTTTTCTGAAGCGCAGGTTACACACCCTCTGCTCTAGGCTCCTTCAGTAACCTTTGGACAGAAAGGGAGGCTGTTCAGCTTGGTACATGTTCCTCTTTAAACAACTCTCCCTGACAGATATGCAGCCTCCTAAAAGATGATCAGTCTTTTCTTTACCACATACTAGAAGCTCCTCCAAGTTGTATTGTCATTTGACCCTTTTTCTTGAAACTCAGCCTGTCATGTGTTTAATTATTTAGAGAGGCTAATTTTACCTGTTTGTGGACCTTAATTACTTGTTTTCAGCCAAAGGTTTGCCTCCTTCCGCAAATCTGGAGAATGGCACAGTACAGCTTAAAAGTTTCTTCTTATGCGTGATTGATTTTTAGTGAGTGATTAAGTGTTTTTTTTCGAGTATCTTCAGACTGGAGAAAGCATGAGCACTGAGGATATTGACTCTCTGCCAGCTATAATGTGATGGTTCAGAATAAACCTTTCAATGCATACAACACTTCATTCAAGTGAGGTGGAAAGATAAGTTTGTATTTAAAGCAGAAGATCAGTAGAAGTGAAGAGATTTGGGTTTCTGATCCTGCTCCTAATCTTATCTGTTAAGTTTTATGGTGTCCTAGGCAAGCTGATCGATCTCTCTGTACTTTCTTTCTTTCCTCATAGCTCATCTGGGCAATGAGAAGCTAGGCTTGAAGGCAGTGTTTTTGAGGAGTCTTGCAGAATCCTGGGTGTGCAATTTCTGTATTATAATATAATTTATAATTGCTCACATGGCTGATCTTCAGTTTAACTTTTTTTTTTCCCTTCTGTCATTTTCATCCTCCCTCTGAATGTTCATGCAAAATAATCCAAAATATTTAGAAACTGAAGTTGATTTTAATCTGTTTTCTTCCATTACTAGTAGATGCCTTATTTTCCTCCCTAGTCACATTAGTGTATGTTTACCAGTGTGTTCTGAATTATGTGGGAATTAGCTGTTTTTTCTTGTTTTTATTATTCCCCCAGACAACTTAAGTCCCTTAAATCATAACTAGTTCCAAAAGGATCTACTTAAAAATTTTAAAGCATTAAGGAGCAGTCTCTCCTAATCCTGACAAGCTTGTTCTCTAGTCTGTTTTGTGGGGTCACTAGGTTAAAATACATATTAGTTGCAGTTTAGAATATAGGCATAAAGCCATTGAATAGAAGTGCTTGCACTTTCATTTATAGAGTAAGTGTCATAGCTTGAAAAATTCAGTTTCCCTGGAGACTTTTCAGATGATGTTTGATTACCTCTGGTAGCTTCTTTATGGAGAGCTTATTAGGCAAACTCCTTTCTTCTTTTGTTTTCTGAGTTACTTTTCCATAAGGGGGTTTTTGCTTTTTTCCCTCCCTTAGTCTTGCAAAGTGCAAGTAAGTTAAAAGTAGCAGGGCCGTCTCGTACTGCCGCTGCCTTCTCTGTCTTTTTGTTCCGGATACATGAACTTATCCTTCATTTATATTTACTGATTGAAGTAAGTCCTCTTAAATGTCCAGCTGTTTTATTTTTTTGTTAAACTTGGACTGTATACCATGTTTTTAACTGAATTAAAAAAAAAAAAAAAACAAAACCTTTTCCTTTTAACTCTTTAAATGATAGGATAGTTTTCTCTCCTGCATAGGAATCTTATGAAAGCTAGTGTTAATGTGAAGGTGTCCTTAGATAAAGTCAACAGGCATGAAAAATTTCTCATGTACTTTTATCTTGTATTTAACACCATTTTGATTTTATCTTGACTGATTTACTTGTAAATTTCCTGGCACCATTGTTGTGGTAACAATAGCTCTCCTTATTCATTGCCAATTTTTAAATTGATGTCTGTGCAGCAGCTTTATGCTGCTTGTTGGCTCAGTACAGAAATGCTCAGAGTTCAGTGGTATTTTCTTTTGTTAAAGTTGTCTTCATTCAAAGCAGTGCATTATTTCTGAGAGGGGATGGTGCTACTGTGCTGGAGTGTCAAATCTTGAAAAGCAAAATCTGAATTTCTGCATGCCTCATGTCTTGACTCAGGATTCAGGGCCTTTTCAGGATGCTGAAGACAGGTGCTCACAAATACACAACTGGTCACAACTGAAAACAAGTGGTCCTTCTTGAAAATGTTATCTGGCCAGGGCGGTCTCTCATATACTTGCAGAGACGCTCTGTGAACAGTCTTCCCTTCCTTCCCCTAAATGAGTTTTCCCTGCTCTCCAGCAAAGAGTCAATTTCAGTTATGCTCAAGGCATGCTGAGAGACGTCAAGCACCCTGAATGTATGAACTATCCTGAAAACCAATGATCACTTTTTTCAGAAAAGGGCTCTGTCTTCTCTTTTATGGTACAGCCTAGGCTCCCCAAGTAAAGATTGGGCTCTGCTGTTGTTACATCAAGATGATTTCCTCTGATCTTTCATCCAGTTTTGTCTTCCTTACAGCTGATTGTTGGCTTAACTTGTTTTATAACTTGTATCTTTTTATAGCATTCTAGTCTCTTGGAAGAGCTCTGTTTTTGAGCTGCAAAGCACTGTTGCAGAGGAAGACTGGAGTGAAACGTTTTAGCATACGGAATGATTGCAGATGTGGTCTGCTCTGTTTGTCCCTCTTAATACGATTGGCTTAAGCTGAGGCCTTCTGAAACTATTATAGAACAGCGTTTTCCACAAGAAACAAGGCAACTATGTTATGTTATCTGAGTATAAGTGCCTATTTCTTTCTGGACAGTTTCTTCAGTGTTGCTGAGGTAACAGCTTGGGTTTTCGCTGATGATGGAAAGTATGTACAATAAGAGTTAAACTGATGTGAAGAGGGCTACATGTTTCATTGTTTTCAAGTCTTTATTTTCTCTCACTAGATAAACTGCTATTGGGTTGTACATTGAGATTGCTCTGGGACTTCCTACTCCTCAACCCTTTCATCTTGGGGTGGGAGCCTTGTAGAAAGCATGGAAACTAAAATTTCTGGCATGTTTTGTTTTGGCTTTTACTTTTTTGTTAGCAAAATACACTAACTGACTAAACTTGCACTAAAAGACCCACTATTGCATTAAATCATAGAAGCCTATTTTGTCTTCCCTTCCTTTTTGTCTCAACTTCTTTTTTTTGTGTAGCTGCAGATAGTAAGGATGAAGAAATCAAAGCACCTCCCAAGAGATCTTATCTGGGTACGTACCATACAAACCCACTATGCATGAAGTTGTTGTCTCAGCTACATATTTCATGCTTTGCTACTTTTTGTAACCGTTGTCAGAAATGATTGCATGATCATTTCTGTAGCGAATGTTTGCACTGCCTTTTCTTGACGTACTAAAACCTGGTGCATGGTTTTAATTTCCCCCTCCCCGTTTTTAATCCTCATAGAGGAAAAGATGCTTTCAGCTCTGTTTCAGAAACCATTTTTTGCCGAAAATAGTTGAATTCACTCCGTTGTTTGTCTCAGTGGCATCTTTCTTTTTTCTTCCCCAAGCAATAGAAGTAAAATATCTGATACCAGGATCCATTTCTTCTGACCCCTATTCTTCCTCTTCCTGCTCTGACTCTAGAGGAAACTAAGAAAAATAGAGGAGTATCTTTCATTGTTCAGAACCCTAGATAAGAATTTGACACTGACGCTTGATGTTCAGCAAAACGCCTACATCCTTGTGAATTGTTCTGGCTTGTTCCTCTCTTCCATTAGAGCAGCCTCAGAATTGTTGTTTGGAGGTTAGTAACACTTTATGGTGAGAGCCTTCAATCATCTTAAATTTGAGAGTTGGAATCTATGTTAATTTGCCAAAGAAGAGGTGGAAGTATTAATGCAAAGCTAGATTGCACCTATTTTTAACTCTCGATAGCTGGGAAGGACAATTTCTGTCAAGTCATAGAATGAGGGGAGTAACACCAACTACAGACACAGAAATTGTCCCAGTTTGACCCAAGTCAACTTTTAGACTGATTTTAATTGAAATGATGCAGAATCTCACATTGATACTGATTATTTTGGATTCAGAATTGTTCGCTGAAATTTTCAAATCAGGGTCAATTGAAGAAGTATAGGGTAAAGTAAACTACTCGTATTCAAAAGGAGAATCTCTACTTTTATATTTGTTAACAAATGCAATCAATTAAATTGGAGCTAACTCTGAGAAACACAGAGTAGTAGTAACCTGAGTGCTTTCTTGAATCCACCAGACAGGTCCTTTTAAGGTTACCCGGATCTCTTTTAATGATTCGTCTTCTGGATCTTTCTGAATTAGGGGCAAAACATGCACTTTGGGATATTTATCATGTGCTGGTCAGATACCAGTATTTTGCAAAGCACCTTTTCCTTTTGTTTTCAAAGTACTTTTTACGGACTTGACATGAAGCTATTTTATTTTGCTGTTTGTCTTTTCTTCTAATTTGTAGTCATTCTCACTGGCTTGCCACACTAACTGGTGGAATGTAAACTTTAAACAATCCTACCTTTGATGTGTCTACATTCATGCTGCCTTTAGTAGTATTCAGCAATGCTTTCATTTACGGTGTCAGAGCTAAAAGCGGCTATCTGTGCTCTTGATTGTGGTGGAGTGGATGATTTCAAAATGCTTCAAGTCATTAAAACTAAACAGAAATGGGTAGCTTAATGTGACCTTTTACGCATTTTTGATAATTTCTTTTCATTAAAAGAAATCTGTTGTTTGGTAGTTTGAGCGCTTGAAAAGTTAAGGTTTGTTTGAAAAAAGCCATGCCTCTTAGTCTAACTGATGCAAGTGTGAAACATTTGGTTAATAAACGGTACTTGGAATTGCTTAGCAAAATTGGATGAATCAAATCACTGTTCCAAAGGAAAAGGGCAGTCTTACGCTAGCGCTCAGAGGTTTAACGATTGGAGTGGGCAAGTCTGTTCTCTATTGAAACAGGATAAATCTTATTGGTGTAAATGCATTAGGAGTGTTCTGAGGTGTTTGTGTATAATGTGCATGCACAAGTATATAGATGGATAGAAGAGTGAGACAAAAAGTGCTTTACAGCACAGCATAAGTCATACTTTGCTTTACAGAGGTTTTAACTGAATTAATGTCCCTCAGTGCTGTGTTTTCCTACAGCTCTGGGAAGCTCCCTCAGAGTTTTGGTAAGGGGAGTATCAGCCATCTTTCATATGGGGGATTCCCATGTCTTTTAATGAGTTTTGATGGAGTTGTAAATTGGATTCTTCCTTTACCTTACTTAGTTCAGTGGTGTAAAAATGTTTTTCAATGTTTCTAGGCTTTGGAGGTCATTATATTGCTTTGTTTTTCCTTCCAGTTATGTGGTAAATGTTCTGTATATTGTGTTTGTAACTGAAGACTGGTTCCAGTTATGTGGTAAATGTTCTGTATATTGTGTTTGTAACTGAAGACTGGTTCTCCATGGAAACTATTTTACAGTAGAACAGTTAAACAATTAATCTGAAAACATAGTGCTCTACCAGTAAATTTCAGATGAACTTGATAGATAAATGCTGAGGCATTTATTTGATGCCTCCCCTTTGAATGGGGACTGAGCTCTAGCTATGCTCCTTCGTATTGCTTTTAGTTGTACGTGAGTGTGTGGGGGGGAGGGGGGGTTTGTTTGTTTTTTGTCAGTAATCCAGCAAACCACTTAATGGCACTATTATTCCACGTTATCTGAAAAAGCTTTTATTTGGCACGTGACTTGGAAAACTGGCTTTCTAGAAGTCGGCGCTGAGGGAGTAAGGATGGGAGGAGAGCGTGCTGTGGTTCCACTGACCTGAGTAAAACAAGGATCGTTAACAGTATGGTGGGCCCAAGAGTGCAAGACTTCCTGTTTTCATGCAGAAATAATATTATTCCTTTCTTTTTCTAGGCAAAGGAAGAATTAAGAAGGATTAAGTAGCACCAGTTCTGCAGGAATGTTGCTTTATTCCTTTTGTTTCCTTAAAGCAAGTATCTAGTTTTACCTAATGCCTCTTACTGTTTGACAGCTACCGCTGAGTCTGAGTGGTGTTTTTTTTCCTCTTTTCTTGCTGAAGTGCTTTGGAATAAGTGTGGACAATTGTCTTCATCTCTTATACTGAGACGCAAGTTCCTGCATATGTTTTGAGCCCTGTGAGAGTTGGAGATTGTTGGGATAGAAGTAGCAAAACTCAAGACATCAGTTCAAAGATACTGTGTCTTTGAAGCTATTTTGAATGGTCTCATTTGTCTGTCCCAAAGTGAATACTGTTGGTTCAGTTTTCCAAGTAAATATTTAAACACATCGGAGGACACTTCTGGTAGAAATCACAAGTGTTTTCCTTTTGCCTCTGAAGTTGGTTTTAAAACTTGCTGTCCTACTGAACCCTGAACTCTGCTTGCTTTTGGCCCAGACGAAAAGTTGTCCAAGTAGCAGCATGTTTTAAAACAGCGATAATGAAATATTTTAATAAAAAAGCAGATTCACCGTCTACCTGTTGCAATAGTATTTAAAAGTACTTGTTTGCTTAGTGAGCCAATGCAAGAAAAATCCGTGTAGGTAACTTCACAGAGTTAGTTGCTGCATAAAAACGAAGAGAAAACAGTAGTGTGAATTAAGCAGGTGGAGTCATCTGCTACATGATTCCGCTGGCAGTCTGACAGTTGAGTAAATAATTTACAGTTGCAGCTCTTCTTTTGTCCATATCCTTAACTTCACTCATGGGATCAGCAGGCTGGCTAATAATACAAGGGTTGACATACTCTGCAACAGCACCTGTATCCTGTATGTGCCATGAAGGACATAAACTTTTTTTAATCAGCTCTCTGGCCCGCTCTGTTCAGTGTTTGGATTTGTCTGAGTGCAGCAGGGGCTTCTAGCCTGCAAATGTGGAGGAGAGTGTTATATATTCATCCGTGGGTGCTCTGTGAACAGCATACGTGTAAAATACTTCCCTGTCTAGGCCTCACCCTTCTGATCAGAGCTGAAGACAGAGCAGGGGCACGGTTTCCGTTAGCCAGCTATGTGGGTGGCGCTTTGGTTTCATTGAAAGTATGTCTTTTGTGCAGGGAAATATGTAATTAGAAATCATGGTATAACTGCTGTGCAGTTAAATACATAACAGAGAAGCAATTGTTACTGGCTTGCAGCTGCTCCAGCTGCTGCCTGTGCAGCTCCAGCCGCTGGCCGTGCATAAGTGCATGTGACAAGAAGGGATTTAAATACCCTTCTCCCAAGGATTATATGTTCCCATGTTAGAATGATTATTTTAAAGTGTTTTTGTTGGGGGAGGGGATCAAGGAGAGGGAGCTATAACGGTGTCTCTGTATGGGACCAGAATGCTGAAAAGTTGCTTTTTTTAAATGGAGTTCTAGGTGTTGAAGGATTCGGGTCTACTCTGGCTGAGGAAATGGCACCCAGCGTCATCTGCACTTTGGTTGCAGTTTTGTGTATGGTGGGACTAGTTGTTCCCCTCTTCTTTTTCTACGTCAATATTTGATCTTTTTCAGAAGAGACTTGAAAGCAAAAGAAAGTAAGAAATTGAAGTTCTGAGGGTGAGGGGGCAGTTTTACTTGTCATAAGTAAAACCTTACGTTGAAGATTGTGGAGTCTTTGGCTGTTTACGTGTAATTTGGGTCACTCGGTTGAGGAAACAAACAGAGGTCTGGAACAACAGTTTGTTTACCCAGGTATGGTTCTAACATTGGAAGTCCAAGTTACTATTCAGGCAATTCAAAATAATTCAGTCCAAACAGAGTGGTGTTAGAAAAAAAATCTTTAAAGGAACTGTACAATTTCTTTGCAGGCAGAACAGAGTCCGACAAAGAAAGGGAATAGTTTCATTACAAAAGAATGTTTTTATTGTCATGGGTGATTTGCGTTCCTTGAACCATAGCAGAATTAATACCAAAATACTTTTCTTTCAAAAAGCTCTTGAGAAAATGGATTTTGGTCAGTCTGTTTTCTGGATCCATGTTAGATTTTTCAATAGATACTCTGTTTCAAGATTTAATGTTGCTTTTATACTAAAAGCAACATTTCTTTCTTCAGCTTTTCAGGCTGAGTATTGAATGAGAAGTTTTACTCTCACCTTTTCTATCCTGTTAAAAACTCCTGGAAACTTCAGTAGGAGCGTAAACCCTTTTGCAGGTAAAATTAGTATTATTCAAGTTATAAAAGGGGAAAAAAAAAAAGTTATATTGCAGAGAGGCTTTTTCTTTTTGGAAAGGGGAGGAGGGGAACCCAGATA